TCATTACCGCATCAAATGTAAATAGCCCATGAAAAAAGAAGACGCAGAAAAGAAACTCAAGCTTCAAATCCGTGGATTTTAAGACATTATCAGTGTACAATTTGGAAACGTATTATTTATTGCTGTGTATGATATGATCATTCGTGAAGAAGTAGATCCTTAGTGCTATGGACTTAATCATTATCTCCTAGATTTCACAACGAAACCAGAAATTTCCTGAAAACCTTGCCTAACGTCAGGAAAAAGCTGTGTGCGCTTCACATGGGTTAACAAAGTCAAAGCGATGGGAAACGTCTTTCTAAAATATCCAAAAGTCACTGGCGCATATATATATATATATATATATATATATATAGCTACATTTTGTACACACTTGACAATAAACCTTTTACCGCTTACTTTTGTCTCCGAAGGACCAAAGTTTGAACGTTATTGTTCAGCTGTCCAGTTCACTTATTTAATGAATTATTTATAAATTTTCTATACCACCATTCTTTTTTACTCGTGGGATTTCGAATGGGACCGTTTTTAGTGATAACTGTTGCACTGGCAGTACTCACGGACGTGACTAATTTCTGTGTTGTATCTATTTATTTGATTCACCGTTTCTCCATACATTACTTTCCCGCGTCTGTGGGTGTTTGAGCTTTCAATCCATCTGTGTTGTTCTAATTGGTAATCTTGAACAAAGCTCGGTGTTCTTGCCTGAAATAATTCCTTGGCCATCACTGGTAACTTTTCCAGAGGTTTTCTTATCAAAACGTAACATTGTGAGCTACTTCTAACTTGTGCCCCATAACAGCTATTGCTGGCGTCTGTTAATTGGAGAGCACTCCTTTCAAAGCTGTTTTATACACAGGTATTGGTGAATAATATATAGACATGGGGATAAAGAAAGTTCATTAAGGTGTGTCGGATAGGCCGTAAAGTTTGGTACTAGTAAAACTATAAAGGTAGTATATCATTTGACAGATTTCATGCATTAGCACATCCCTGCAAATAACCTTGAGTAAACTACAAAATGTAATCAGGTATCAGTCATTCAACAAAGTTAAGAAAACGCAGGTGTTTGAACTGTCCATATTCCCGAATAATGTAGGAGAAAGTTGTTATGTCAGTCTTAATCATCGGGTCAGGATTTCGGATGCTTTCATGATAACAATGTTTAAGAATCTTATATGAAATATTTGAAATAATACTCTTCGGCAAGTTTGATGCGTGTACGAACAATTTGATACTAACTTCTGTGTTAATAATGGTGGTATCTTGATAAAGCATCTATTAGTACAGTTTCATATCTTCTGTTTGCAACACATCCCAGCTTAATAAACACACTACACAACTTCCTTCTCCTGCATCCAGTCATTGCTATGTGACAAACTGCTTTCATTCCCGTCTGCTACTAAAATATGGGGTAGTTATTGGTATATTCTTCAGTCTTGCTTGACTTACTTTATCATGTTTGAAAAATGAGCTATGTACCTCGTGGGAGTTGGTCACCTCATATATTTCCGTTATACATGATTGATTACATCTCGAAGTATCAATGTCAATCATTGGCTATAGAATTACGCTGTCTAGAAAAGACCTAAATGCTCTTGACAAAATTGTCGTGCTTTCGTCAAACGGTAGTGACTGAAATAACTGAGAAGAGACAAAAATATTGCAACCGCGGAAAGTTACGTTTTGTGATACGATCACTTTTGTAAGCAGTCTTCAAACTTTTAAATCCTTAATAAATATTATAGCTGCCAACGTAGATATGTTACCGAGGTTATTTATTTGAAAATACCCTGCACTACCATCTAATGTTCTTCATACTGTAATTTATCTAAACCCATAGCATTCTTTCAAATTTTCGCCTCACATGATAGCAGTCTTACTTGTGTTGACCCTGTGTATTTCTAAAAAAAGTGTCAGTCGGAAATTTTTTTATCTGTCAGACAGCGATTGTGGAATATGGGAATGGTGATGAAATCGCAAAATATATCATATCATTTGTGTATATATAATTCAGTCGGTCACAATTTTAGCACTATATATCAAAACTAGTTTAGATCATTCTAAGGAATAATTTTAAAATTAATGATTATTGAGAGCAGTTTTTGAATTTATTCCCCTTCATTATTTATCATAGATCCGTGCTGTTTCTGGTATTCGTATGTCTTTCCAGTTGCAAGTAATTTTGTATCCCAGTGAAATCTCTTCGACAGCAATCATTCGAGGAGCTAAAGATCCTAAGAACTCTCAGGACTCTAAATCATTTTCACCGAACAACAATTCTGCAAATACAGTTTATTGTATTAATCATGCTCTATACAATATGTTGAGAACCAATCGACAACACCGTCGATCCTTAATAGTAAATCTGTTGGCTTTGTTTGACGATCGACAGGTAGTCAAGTTACATATTCAGTCCTTGGTATATATTGTTATTATTATTCTTGTTATTAGTATCCGGAGGTCTCTGTGTTTATATCTGAGTCGTGGTTACATCAGGAGTCCATTCAGCAAAGGTGCAGAATGATATACTGCAATATCATGAAGCAATCGTTAATGTGTGTCATTCAGGAACACCTAGACTGACTATCTCTAAGCTCCTAAATATTTTAGCTGGAAATCCCACGTAAATTATTCCAACCGCTTTACAAGGACACCAATATCTTCTGTTATCTTTCTCGAGATGTTTGGTCCTGTATCACGCTATGTCCTCTTTGTGCTATCGGTTCTTATCCATCATGTTTATTTAATATTCTTTTCTGTTTATTTTCGCTTCATGTATTACTATTAGATGTGGCAACTTATACCAAATTGCTTTTACGAAAGGTTTTACATCTTTCTTTGTATTGCTTACTGGTAAGACTGTCAGTTGTGATCCCATGTAATATGGACTACTATAAGTTCATTTTTTTAATTAAACCTTGAAGATGATAAGTATATTTGAGTTGAAGCCTATGTACTCGTCATGTATTATTAGGTACTTCAACTTGTGAGTTTTCGGTCAGTAGACCTTATTTTTGTTGTTGCGTCATTTTTAGACAGACTATCGTTTGGTTATAACCCAACAATGCATCCGTTTAAGTCTACAAAACATTTATGAGCAGCTAAGGAAAGTGACAAAAGGAATTAAGTATCAAATTGATTAAAGATAGGAAGAAACTACTAGTATGTGAGTATGGAACAACGGAGTGTTTTCTAAGACTCAGTGGTGTATGAGATGAGTACATCTAAGCGACGACTGTAATGGAGTCAAACATCGTTCACTGATCTATTACATCTAGCGGAACGAAGCCTGCATACCTGAAGATCTATGAATGATTAACCCAAGGAACAAATAATAGTGTAGATTATTATTACCTTTTGGTTCGATTACTCTGATATGATGTCTTTTCTCTCCCTTTTATTTCAAACAATATCACAAATCTGACCGTATGTAAAACTAGTTTTGGACCACCTTGGTAAAAACACTCAACTCCACTGAGTGATTTATCTTTTCTACGCAAATAATTTCAGCTAACCCAAACATTGGTCGCCAGATAGTTCCATTAATCTTAAGGTTACACACCTGAGGTATTTTTGTGTTTCTCATCTTTAATGCTTATCTAACAGATATGTATTAAAATAGCGTATTACTGTACGGCATATTCGTTCTTTGTACTCAAGCATTTCTCTTGGAAAAAATGGCACACCATCCCTTTGTTCTTTTACCTGGAATTTCATTTTGTCGTCTTGACAACTAATAAACGCATAAGGGTTGGCGACTTGGTCACTGTACTCTTAGTCAAGTTAGATGTGAACATAAAGCACGGACTTATGCATATTGCGAGCAGTTTCAGTCTCTCAAAAGGTTACACTTTCACAAGTTATTGTCATAACTTGTGAGATTTCGAAACATAAAAGACTACTTTGAAAAAAGTAAATGTGAAATAAGGGAAGCAAGCATCACTCATCTCAAAAGCTTTCAAGCAACAACAAAGTTTTGAACAAATATCTTCCAATGAAGTGATGTGCTTGACTTGTATTTCTTGTACTGATAGATGTTACTGCTGAGTTTTTCGAGCTGAATGTGCCCATCACACTGAAAAATATTCGATGTTAACAAGTGCAACTGCGTTGCAGGATTTAGCCAAAGATAAGTACTTAGTTAATAATTGTGTACCAGTTTTATGCTGTTCTTTCTAGTCTGTTTTTTCGATGTGAACTAAGGCATCGCAAAATTTTTGTTTTTAAGATATTCAGAAATATGCTTCTCATTCTGTTTCATTTTCCTTACAATAATATGATTTTTACTCTTTTCCCTTGTCAATGTGTTTAAAAAGTAATCTTGATGCCTTCATTTTTTGCACACTAACTTTTAGGACTCAGCGGTGCTCGCTAGTGAAAACTCAGCAACCCAGAATCGTTTAAGTCAATTGATTTTTATTGCAGACCACTTGGCACATTTTCCTTATATGGTTCTTGATGAAGTGTATTATGTTGCAGATTTAACTGAACAAAGAATCAGTCTTATGGGACCTACTATTTTACGGTCATTTTATCGAAGTTTGCTGCCTGGCTTTCAAAGCAAACGCTCAAATTCTGATGGTTCTGAATCATCCAAACATTCTGTAAATGAAGACCAAAAATCAGTTAACGAAAATGATCTTATGGATTATCTTGACAAGTGTGCAGAGAAGTTGCCGAGAGAGTATGATCTAAGCACTTCATTGATAGACATGGATATAATAAAAAGTTTAGATAACCAAAGTTCCTGTAGTTCATTGGAAAAAGAAATGCAACATCTCTTTAAACATTGTCAGTCAGATACTTTAAAGGGAAAAGCTCGATCGTCTATGATTTATTCGGGACCACCATGTGTACTGCTGATTGCCATATGGAAGTTTATACGGGAATACTATGGTGTGTCATACAGGTAACTCTCTTCGTATATATAAATAATGTGTAATATTCCATTCATTTCCATTCTGATATTAAAAATCAATGGGAATGTACGTATATTATCATTTATATTAGACGCACCTGCACCCGAAATTTCAAGCAACACTTATCGAAGTGCAGGTAAACGGGATTGACAAGTACCAAACAAACTAAAACGTATGTTTTGAACACTGCAAGTCGCCTTTGTTGTGTATTCCCCTAGTAGTAATTGTCTAAAGCACATGATTCTGCTGATTTAGTCTTAACACTGACCTTGCACTTATACTGCTCAATCCGAGTTACTATAAGGACCATCCTAGCAACAACTGAAATAACCAACTAGGTTCCTTTATTTCGCCTAAAAAATCAGGCCTTCGTCAAATCAAGAAGACTAATTGATTATTTCACTTGTTGTTAAGATGGCCTTTAGGGTCACTCCTCAATTCATCGACACACTGAGTCATGTGGATCAGTCCTTCCAACCTCGTACAACAGATCAAAATGTGTGCTTATTGTCTGTCTATTTCGACAGTCTGAGTCATTTGTGCGTATGTACAAATTACCGCATGTTACCGTGCCATAATTTATAAAAGTGAAACGAATTTTCATGCCCAGAGAATAAGACAAAACATAATTATTGTTATTAGTCAATATGCATTTTTTTTCTGAACTATAATTTATGCAGTAATAGATGAGGGGTCAATCAGTAACTCTTGAGTTGAGTCATACAGTGATGATACCGACAAAACCAAATACTTTTTGAAATGAATAGACCGATTTGTCTGACACTGCTTACATGAGACTCACATTTGCCACTTTTCGGCCGATATAAGAATTACTGAATAATTCAGTTTAATAATGCAACAATGCCATCTCTAATGTCTGTCCATAATGTTTTCTCACAATTGACTTATTATGTATTGTTTCGCCAGAAGGTCATGCTTTTATCAAACCCCACTTTTTCGAATGCGAGTTGTGAGATATTGATGTATTTTGTCTGTTCAAGTTTTAAATCCTACAAAAATGATTTATTCAGTATTTTTTGCATTTCTCTCAGCAAACTGAAAATGTATTCACCATCTGATTCCTCGAAGCTGTTCGAAAAGCCGATTGTCTTACCGAAACACTCAAATCTATCTGATCAGTTGATGACATTGCCACTCATTATTCACCAGTATGCATGTAATCCTGCTTGGAACGACATATCGAAAGGACCTCCAGATCATATTCTTTTACGTCATTTTCTTGTGCTACGTCGAGAACTGATGCTTCATGAAGATAGCACTCTAGACGAACCACTCATAGAAAATACATCCAAATCTAATTCGCAAGCTCTTAATGCTAAAGAAAACCGGAAAAGTTAGTTTACAGTACTCTTGCTTTTTTCTCTGCCGTGTAAAAGTGAAGTAGTTTATTGTTATCTTTCTTTTTATGATTAAAACTTATTCGTATCTGTTAACGTTTTTCTAGTACTCAAAGGTTTTTTGGATGTTCAATGTAGTTCTAGCTTTGTGAATTTGCTTATACAAGACTACCGTAATTAAATCAAACTTCAGAGTTGACTTTAAAAGGAATCAACGTATTTTACTTGTGCACCGTTATTGTTGACTTTTAGTTTATAATAAGTACGTCACCAAGTGTTGGAATATACACAAGAAAATATGTTCTGATCACAGATCTACTACTGCTTCTGGTTGTTTACAACCTGACTTTTGTGGATATCCCATCTAAAAAAATTGATATCCAGAATGCTTTAGCAACAAATACGTTAAGAGTATCAAATTGTATAATGTGTTAGTGATATGACGCTGGTATTCAATTGTCAACAGAGTGATTATCAGTCTTGCCTCGCATGAAGTTCAACTATGCAGCAAATGGGATGCTCAGTCTCTCTTCTTATTTTCATTTCAAATGCTCAGCCAAAATACATCTGTTTAGTAAAGATCAATGTTGGTGCTTACTACTGGTAGAAGTCATAGATGCAGGATAGATAGTAATGATAATTATCATAATAGATACAGAAGTAAAAATCACTACAGCAAGTGAACTGAATAATAACAACTGTTGCCCTCCTTTCTATATATATATATATATATATATATATATATATATATATATATATATATATATATATATATATATATATATATATATATATATGAAATCTAGCATCCAACAAAACCGTCACGTCACAAATCCATCCTAACCGTTCTCATTTCAGTAGTATCCTAAAATTCTGCACTCGGCGTTTCTGATAGCTTCGTATGTAAACATTGACCAAGTTATTAGTTTTCATAGGTATGTTGTATTAGTGTAAAATCAACTATTGGTAATTTTACTTGCAAAACCATTTCACTCACTAAACATCTAAAGGATATTAGTAGTTAAATTTATAATCCCTATTACGACACAAAACAAAGATTTCAGCAAAAAGATCTATCTTTGTCACGACTTCATTTTCAAAATTTATGCAATCGTATTTATAAGTACGCCTGTACAGCTTTTGGAAATGAAATCGTCGCAAATATATTATTAGTGTAAAACCTAGGCTGTTCGATAGAATTTAATCCCATATTAAATTCACTTATGTGATATGGAGCATAGTGATATTTATTGGGTGACGTTTCGAGCAGCATTTGTTGTCCATAATCATTTCAAAGTATGATAGGTTTATCCATCTGTCAGAGGTAAATGTAGTCACACCAGCATTTAATAGTTTTAAAACGTTCACTGTTCATCTAAACATTTGCTTTACGTCTGCTGGGATTACTGTTAAGTGTTATATTTTACAGACGACTACCAAATGAAAGAGAAAAGTGAAGAGGGTCCATCAGGTTTGTGCAACCGGTCGACTGCATCCAAACATTCTAAGTCGACTTCTGAACACTGTGTTTCAACTAAGTATGGTCCTGGCAGCTCTTTCGACCAAAAACGTGACAGTTCGAGCAAATCTCAGCTTGCAAATCCTCCAAGAAAGCGCAAGCTTACAAAGCGTGTGTCCTCAAGATCAGCCTCTTTATCATCGCTTTCAGACTCTTCTAATGAAACAGTGGATGAAATTACATTGAAGAAGAATATCAATATAACAAAATCGGAGCGTGCTCTTGACCAACGATCTCAAAATTTACAATCAATATCGGTTAAAAGTCATAACCGACTATCACAGCGTTCTAACTACTCTACAGACTCTGACTCTGTTGAGTTGAACAATACCAAAACCTCAAGGAAGGATGATAATCCCCGTGGTCATCAGTCTCGATTGCGATCAAGCCCAGATTCATCAGTAAGTAGTATTTAACGTCATTACCTTAGTTATTCAATAATTGAAAACTCAAGATATAATTAGAGATTAATTACAGTAGCGTATCTTTTCAGGAATCCCATCGATAATTTTTTTGTTTTGTATTCTTTCCCTTTTTGCTTCTTTTCCTTGCTATTTTAAAGAGTGACTACTTCCAATGATATGCAAATACTTTGTGTTTTTCATCAATCACTATAGTTAAGTGTACTTCATTTCAACCGTGGTTTAAATCCCAGACGTAGATGTGTATTTCATTGCTATTACACCAGTTCCCTACTTGTTAAGTCTTTCCATCTCAGTTGTGTTCAGTTTAACCTCTTAGTGATCATTGTGGAACTTAGGTGTAAAGTATTGAGTGGCCAAGGTAAATAATTTGATGCGATTTACAACATTTCTTTCTGAATTAATTGAAATATGGTACGCATTCTGGGAAATCATCTAACTAAATAGTTTTATTATGCGAAGTGACGTAACAATGGAATTAAAAAAAGTCGAAAGTAATCAAAACAAAATGTAACACTAATTCGTTAAATTTTCAGATGTTGGTTTGTAATGTGTTAGCAATTGTGGGCTTTCTTGTAAAACAGTCTGAACCGGAAACAGAGGAATTTCGCTGATATGCGTTTAAAGCTGTTATAGTGGCACGTAAGTTATAAATGTATCTTTACTCAGTATTCCTTTGTTCAACAACCTGACTTGTTCCTTTATCCTTTCTCCCTAGTTCTTTACTAATATTCGTATATTTTTTATCGTGTCGTTTTCGGTTCTCGCTCATTCTAAGTTCTAGATACCTCTTTGATTTTAATCAATCTATCCCCATATTGTATTATAGTTTTCAACCAATTAGTAATGATGTGATCATATCTAATTAAGCGCTAACTGTTGAAGTACAGTTTCAAACCTATTTACCTTACATTGCTCCAGGTAGTATGTCTACCGTCTTTATTAGATATAACTAGCAGTCACAAACCTATCAGTCGTGACTTAACTGTCCAAGCATTCAACGTATATCACAACTAGTTCATTCTTTCTTATGATTGTCTAGTATCATTACTTCGTTTCTTTCTCCTTTCTTAAAGATTCCCCACTCTAAAGTAATATGAAATTCAGTAACCTAGACACGTAAGCAGTTAGACTGAGTTCCGTGTTGTTTTTGTCTATCTATTTACCGCTATTACCTGCTGAACATTCAGATTGTGAATCTACTGTCAATTTTTTTCCTTTTTCTAGAACAAACCTGGTTTTCCAAGTCAGTCAGGTCGATCAAATTTTGAGTCATTGGATTTGATGCAAATTCAGATTCTACATCTTTGGATAGCTCTGTTATTAAAAATCAAAATGTAAATTCAAAAGTTGGAAAACGTAGTATTCAAAATGTTGCCAGTCAATCAAAGAAGCAATCCACATCTTTTTTGCCTTCAAAAAGTCCTGTCAAAATAAAAAATCCTGAATACCAGGAAATAGAAGTTAGTAGGCATCCTAAAACTGCTCCGTATCATAGTCGTCATCATATGACTGGTTCAAAGCAGTCAACAGGTCCAACTCGTACCCTTGCACCATTGCCATCGGCTATGATGAACAGTACAAATGCACAACGTTCAGGAAAGCATTCCTTTACAAATAAACCAGCTAAACATAATTACAAACAGTCAGGATCCATCATTAAACAAGATTCTGAAAGCACTCCTCAGCATTATTCTGTTGACAGTGGTAATCATCATAAATCACGAGGAAAGAATCAAAAAGAAAAACCATCATCATCTCATAAAGTCACTCATACAAGTAAAAATCGATCTCACAAATCAGAAGATCAACGAACAGTAAATAGAAATTCGTTGAATTTCGTAGTTCTAAAATGCGCCAACGTGATCCATTTGTCAAGTTTAGTTCTCAGAAAAAAGTTCGAAAGGTATCTACTTCAGCCTTTCGTATTTTGATTAATATTTTATCACATTGATTTATTCAGTTGTTTACTTTCTCGATTAGAGTTAGTAGTTTTTAAAACGCTTTGAAGTGAATGTAAATATAGATTAGTTATTTGTCTTGCACGTAATTCCTTAAGATTAGTTTAAGCTTATGCATAATTTACCAACAAGCGTTTCGGACTGTCTAAAGTCATGCACTACTACTATTGCTGCATTATTATTCTGTTTGGTTATATTTTAGATGTTATTGTTTGACTTTTAACAATTGTATAATCACCACTTCTATCAGCAGCTGTGTTATGCACGTGGATTTTACTGTCTCACGTAGTGTTGCTTCGGCATCAGTGAGTACTGGTCAACTTCTGTATAAGCATATTTTGATGAAATGATTTATTTTGAAAATGTCGACTTAATGCATAACGTTTTGTTCCTCAAAAATAATATTCTTACTAATATGTCCTCGGTTAGGTTCGATGATAATCATTGATGTTACCTCTCTTTAAGGGAGGGGGCGGGGTGTCTCGACATAAAACAAAACCAGAGGCTATTTATCTACTTTGTATCTATTTGATATTAACTCATTGTTAAAATATGCCCATCTTTAGATTTGCTGGAAATCTGTAGGGTATCATTTCGAAAGATTGTTGATGGCATCACTACTTTCCATCCTTGCCGTGAATTCATGGATTGATGGTTGTCGAAACTGAGTACTATACTACCGAATATTATTATTAACTACTGCTTTTCCATAAAAATGACTGACTTCAGGAGCACGTTCTCATACTGACGATAAATCCTCTCAAACAGGTTGAAGAATAAAGATATGTCTGACACTTCAATGTATTAAACAATAGTGAGAAATCTTCAGTTGAAAAAAATTAATTATTAGGACTAGGAAAATACTATCTAGTTTCGGCTGGGTGATACAACTGTGTTATTGTGTTTATTCAGTCAGTAAGGAAGTATTCGTTGTTTATAATGCAGTTGTTTTATCATTACCCTCCGCAACCTGTTTTTTTTAACATACTGATCATTTTCCCGGAAAATATTTAACTCAAACTCCCGGCATTATTTAGGCTACGCTTACTGGATATCATCTACTCTGTTTGCCATACTTCTGCTTACTTTAAGAAACCATTTGTGAATGACTTTTCACTATTTATCTTTTCTATTTTACAGAGTGTTACTTAACTAGCTCATTCACTTTCATTAGTCGTACAGCTCCTACCTGACCAATAGCTGCTACCTTGACGTAGTGGTCGGGCTTGCATGTCACAATGACCTAACGAGTTATTCTGGTGGAATGCTTGTTCTACTGAAGTCGTACCATGCCAGAATAGTCTGTTGGATAGTGGTAAGATAAAAAGTAGTTATCGTTGTGGTGTTAGTTACTACACTATGCTGGAGATCTAGGTGAAGTCGAACTGCTGACTGGATAGGGTATGACAGCAGTTAGATGTTTCCCTTGGTTGATCAAGAGTGCCAGTCTAATGATGCCTTCTTAGTAGGAAGGAGGGGTTAAAAAAAGTTGGCTACAAGAATAGCACATTCCTCTTTGCCCATGGTCTTCCGGTGCTGGTGGTACTGGTTTTCTCCGTCCGGCGTTATAGCAATGAAATTACATACCGACGACCTTCAAGAAAGTTCATGACAGACCTCAAGCAGATGTCCCATGAGCTCTGCAGTCACACGAATCATTTTCTCTTTCAGATACCACAAGATGAAATAGATCTCCACGATGTGGGCAGCCGGGAGTGTCAACCGTCCACACGCTTCTAGTAGTATCTTGTACCTTGCCCAACCTCTAACTCTGCGACCAATGCTAACAACCCAAGCCTGCGAAACCTCATTCCTGGACACCTGAGATTCTGCCGTCGATTTCACATCCGAACTCTATGCCAAATCTTTTAGCAAGCACCGCTCACCAAAACTTCAGAATCTGTAACTATGGATGTATGCTGTGTCTCTGAGACATATATACAGGACCCGAGTGTGGTTATCCACTTGACCTCACCTAGCTATAATTGTGGATCTTCGAAATTCACCTTACAAGTATCCAGAAACCCAGTGTAGGTGTAGGTATAACATTGAGCTATAGCGTGAAAAGTGCGCATCTTGATTAGATACCAGTCAACAGCCATTTATCTTCTGTTCGACTAAATGCATCAGTAAGAACTAGGAAAGATCGTGAAACTAGGCGTTGTCTGTTCGTGATCTGCACCTATGCACACACTGACTACAGTTTGTATGATGCAAATGTTAAATGCTGAGATGCAAAGCGTTCATATATGTAGTTATAATGGCAGGTGACTTTAGTCCTCAAACCTGGGTGAGGTTGGTTCGGTCAGATTTTTACAATTCAACAGGCCCTGGAACACAGCCATACCTACTAGCGGCTGACACTTGCTATATTTCTTGACCTGAAAGCGACGTTTGACTTTGCGACCGTGAGGTGTTATGACAGTATCTGACTGTAAAGGGAGTACCGAAAAAGTATATAATGCTAATGGAAGCTTTCTACTTGAACTCACACAACCGTGTAAGGACTTACGGATTGAGGACAACTAGTGGTGTCCGTCATGGATACTTACTGTCACTGTACGTACTTAACTTCGTTATAGTCGTACTTATGGACATAACCTTGGATATCCAACTTCAATTGATGACCTACTTCCTGGAAGTCATCTAGTTGACCTGGAGTACGCAGACGAAATTGTTCTGCTTAGTGAAGACCCTGACGAAGTGCAAGGTCTTTTGGACTCGTTCAGCAGAAATCTGAGTATGTTTGGCATGCGTTTTACTGTCACCTGTTAAATGTAAGGTGACACTCTAGACTGATCTGCTGCAAGTACTCCCAGTTTAATTATAGGGGGTGAAGTGGTAGAATATGCCGACCACTTCACTTACTTGAAGAGTTGTATCAACCCAAACAGGCTGGTTGCTGGTGAAGTCTCAGGTCGGATACAAAAGTCTTGTTTGGCATTTCCCGATTCGCATCATACTTGGCGCTGACTGGCGAGATATTCGACTAATTGCCAAAGGACGATTATGCTGTGCTGTAGTCCGTTCTGTCCTGTGTGACATGAGCGTTAAAGGTGTAGAAGACATGAAGTGATTACAGGCTTTTGATCACAGATGTCATTGTAGCATAGCACGCTGGGGTTTGGTGGACTGACCGTATGAACAATGTTTGAGGTCAGTCACAGAGTAGTAAGCAAGACAGACAAGCGGATTCATGAGGTTGTGAACGTTAGTCGACTGAGATGGCTTGGACATGTACTGCTTATGTCGAACCACTGCCTGCCTTTAAGTGCCATGCTAGAAAAAGTTTGATTCAGTTGGAAGAAGGTTCAGAGTGGGAAAACCAAGGCCTAGTACCAGTTGATGCAGTCTCTTGCTGTCGGTCTGAGCCGTGTGGGGGAGATGTAGACTACCTGGTTTGGGTTCCGAGCCGAAAGGAATCATTGTTTGAGAACTTTAGATGACATGGCTGGAAATCGGTCACAGTGATTCAGTTGTATTCACTCCTTGACATCTATGGCTTGAATATTTGCATTAACTGTTATCTTTAGATTGCTTATTCTCTCACACAACTTTGTCTAGTCTGATTTGATTCTTTTTCTATCTACCTGTTCTTTGTGTCGTACTGTGAATTGTGGAAACTTGAGCCGATGCACCTGTGCGAGGTTCTACTTTGATTTTATTGGTCATTCAGTGTACAACTCCCAAACGACTTCCTAACCTATCGTTGTGTGATATCCGGGTTCACAATAAATATATGTGGATATCCTCTTTATTGGTGGATTTTTCATTTCAGTGTAGCTAGAAGAAAGCTTAATGATTAGTATTTAAGTCTGCCTAATTTTTTTAAAATTTAGGTTACCTTTCTCGCTATGTTCAAACTACCCAAGTTTCTTTTTCTTTTAGTTTTGGGTTTTCTTACTTATCAAACACCAGTTTTTTATTCAGCCGTGACGATTTAAAGTCCAGTAATCTGTTCAGTTTGTTTTGAAATATTTAATGACTACGCCTAACACAAGCGTTACTCCACTGACCATTTTGTTGCTGTTATCGAATATTACATGCGGCTAGACCGATAGTGAATTATAACACAAAGTTATCAAAACCTGCGATTCCTAGAGGACAGGCGTGTTCCATCTTACAAATTTACGTGTATTATCTGGAATAAATTTAACGGAGATTATGCTAATTCTGCAGTTGAAACCATCATTCGTCATCGTATTTTCGTGACTGATGAAAGTTGTAAAACTTACTATGAGTTTTTGATTTATATACCCTCCCAGCTCTATCCGTAAAACAAATTGCAATTTTGAGGGATTTCATTAATTTGAATTGATTGGTTTTTAGCATTAAACTGATCATCAGTACCTTACAATTTCACTGTGCAACATGTGGTTTATAATTAAAGACTCAGTCACTGGGTTATTTATTGTTTCATATTTCCGTTTCGATAGCCTATCAATACTGTTAACCGTTGTATAGCAATCAAGTATGAATTAACATTTCTCAGTTTTCGAGTAATATCCCTCTAAACTGATTGTAAACTAGTATAGAATTGCGTGTACACTTACGCTTTCTATATTCTTGTTTTTTATTGCTTTGCACGTGAATACATTGTTCTGTCTTTATAATATGAAGTCAACTTTAATCAAATGACTTGTATGTGTTTTGGACTGCTGCTATTCTTTTTCTTCAGGTTGAGACATTGTCCGATTGTGATAAAAGTAATGAACAACTATCTGATTCTAGTGGGTCTTCTATTTCATCTTCATCTTTATCATCATCATCATCATCTACAACAACATCTGAGGATAGTCTTTCAACGTCATCCTCTTCTTCATCGTCATCATCCTCGATTATTCAAGCTCAGTTAAAACAAAAAAAGAAAAAAATCAGTTGACGCTTTTGGTTATTCTTTTCTTGGAAAGAAGCAGGTAAAAGCTCTTGGGAACATTGGATTCTCGTTACTGTAACAGATAGTTTAGGCCCGTTTTGTTGCTATCTGCTGTTTTGAGATATAAACTATCCTCCAGTATCTCTTGCAATTATTTTATGTTTCGTGCATTATTGTTACCGTTTATTTTCTCGTTGATATAACTGTTGGGTCATTTAACCAACATTTAATATGTTTTTCAAATCTGACAAAGGTAACTGAACACACCCACTACCGAAAGCTCAAAAGCATTCCTTTTTAAGTGTTTAAGCGCCTTTCTGCTTGAATGAATCCCCTTAACAGGTTAGAAATATCCACCTTGTCAACTTGTGTATGCATTGATTCCATTCTGTGTGTGAGAGAAAAACAAGGAAATCTACACAAGAATCTCTTATTTTCTTTTGTGTATAATTCAAAATTCTTGTTGTATATAGTGCTGCTAATATATACAGCTTTTGTTTATCTGTTGGTATAATTTACAACTTTTCCAAAAACATTTTCCCTAAATCTTTGTTTCTCTTAAATGCCCCTCCTCCGCTGTATGTAAGATGTATTATATGTTAAATCGTGATTGTGCATGAGGTTGTTACTTTTTTATATGCTTTATTTTGGATATGAAGGGTAAACATTTCGATACATATTTTATCCTAGCTATCCGCTATCATCACCACTAATCTCTCCTTCCTATTGGCATGCAGACATGTCTTGTAGATCTGCTCGTCGTCTTTTCCTGTTTCCCTATGCACTTATTTGTCTATTTCCCGAGAGAGGTGATTGACTTTTCTCAAACAACTCTGGTCATTTTTCTTGTATTCTGTCCAAGGGACACCGCATATATATATATATATATATATATATATATATATATATATATATATATATATCAGTTTGTCAATATTATTCTTATAATTTCCTACTGTTACTTTCCCTACTGTAACCTTTTAAATATTGGTTGTTTGTTTCGGAGATTATCTATTAGCTAATAATTATTGTTATGGTAATAATGCGAATATTGATGACACTAATGACTCATCAAGTCAGTCGATTTTGTAATTTCTTGTTTTTCGTTTTACTTTTTCTTTTTGTTTTTTGTTTTTTTTCGCTTGGTTTATTTACCTACTTTTCAGTTGATTATGACTTTTTTTAATGTTGTCGTGGTCCGTTGTTCTGTTAGTTACTTCATCCTAAGGCTTCCATCTGATTATTGGTAATGATCACAACATTTAGTTGCATTAGTTATATTTAGTTCCGGAGATTGCTTAATAATTCAGATTACCACCATTGTTATTATTGTTACTATTATGATTATGTCAGTCTACTTTTTATAAAGTTGGTTCTTTTGAGTTTGTACAACATTTTATTGACAGAAAAGAAATGCGATTTCGTAGATTCTATTGCAATCTTACACATAACTGTTGATGACTGTTCTCTTTTGCGTTTTTTTTATACCGTAAGATTATTGCGTTGGGCCTTTTTTTCTGAAACGAAGTATTTGCTAAGGTAAGAGCAAAGAAGATTGCTGCGACGAAAAACTTTTATTTTGATGGGCTCATTCTCCTAACTGTATATTCTTGAACGCGTAGTGGAGAGGATATGACATTCCAGAATATAATTTTAAGCTTAAGGTAAAAGTTCACTAAATAATTAAAGGATAGTTACGTAATATGTATTCGACATATTCCACACAGCAATTTCAAACAGTTGATTTGAAGTGATCGAAATCACTACAAGTGATTGAAATCAAGTTTTTCTTTTGATAAATTAGGTTCTCGAACGGAACTTTTCTGTCAAGCTCATCAACTCTTGACTTCATCGTTTTTTGGACCATTAGATGTGAATTTGTAAACCGGAAATTGACACGGAATAGTAGAATACGGATTTTTCCAGGCACAAATGAAAGTTATTGACTTCAAGCTGTTAGTCAGTTAGTTTTCTGATATTGTTATCTCATGTGAGATTGAAAGCAGCAGGTGTTTTATGATCACCATAGCTCTGCTTCATTACGTCAACTGAAGTTGGTTTCAGTCGATGGAAGTAATAGTTTAGAAATAAGTACGCGAACCTTAACTAAACGTTAATTGTACTCATTTTTATTTAGTGAATGAGTACTTTATCATAGTTATTGATTTGAACCACGTACAAATATTTACTGTCTATATGGTTAGAATGTGGAAAAAGATAATATCCCTAAGTTAGGTTAGCTTTTCTCGAATTCCTTTCCAAATACTACTTGACATCAGAAAAAGACTTGGATATTCTTGGTTGTTTTCTCTGAGCTCAGATAACACAACATCATCTACCTGAGCTACAAGTATTCTCCACCATTTCAGACTGGATATTCAACCCACTCAAGTGTTCTACAGACGGTTGCAAAAACTATAGTTCCTGTTACTGTAATTTTTTCATACTTTAGCAATCAGTGTTTCACAGTCTTTAACTACATGTAAGTCACCAAGGTTTTCGTCATTTTTAGGATTTTTCTATTCTAAATGGCGTCGTTAGCGCCTGTTTCAGAACTAAATGGACCCTTAGAATTCAAGTGTTGGTGCACAGTCAGTCTGTTTTGGAGATCATGAGTGTGATTGGTTGTCTCAGGCAACTTATTTATCGTCATTAAGGGATTTGCATTTTATTAGCCGTCGTGATACCTATTATGCTTTAACCAGTAACTGAAATAAAGTAAACACCTATCTTTTGATTGATGGACATCAGTTCTTGAGTAGTTTTCTGACGTTACTAAGATTTCCTGTCCAATATCTCGTCAGTTTGTTTAGTATCCACGGATTATTTACTGTCATTCAGCACCTATTTAAAAATTGAGGTTAAAAAATATTTTGAAACTTCAATTATTTCTCTGCATTACAGCTGTATGCATTGCTCGACTCCCAAGATCGATGATTTATGGTTTATTCTTAAGCCCTAATTTACCTTAATGATGCATCAATCTTTCTTCGTACATTTTATTTGTTGTCTCAAAATCTGTCAGTGATAGACTTTTTCGTAACCAAAAAAGCAGTTCACTATTTTCTTTGCATGTGCGTCACTGAACATTCACGCAATCCACCGCGTAGAAGTGAGATGAAAGCAAAATACATCATTAAGGATAGGGTTCATCATTCCACTTATTCCTTCTGCAGTTAACTTTATTGAAGATGACAAGTGAATATGATTGGACAAAATTAATATCTAGCTTGTGAATTTCGCCCAGAAATATGCTGGAAGTAACCCTGACACTTGAATTTCAGACACAAAAGTCACACGTAATGGATGTAAAGTAGGAAAATAAAACGAATTGCTATGGCAGATCCAACCCTAGAAGCCGGTGGAATAACCGATTAGGTTTCTTTATTTCCGCTACAAAGATAGTTTAAACAAGCAGTGGAGGACATCTAATTGGTTGTTTCGCTACTTATGGTTGGTTCTAGAGTTACTTAAAAATCTATCATGTAACTCAAACTCCTCGTATTCCCCTCTTTGGTAAATGCCTTTTACTCTGATTTCACATAAATGTGAATCACGGGCTAAATTTAAAGCAAGATATCACGGCCTTTTGTTACTATTAGACGTTAACTTTGTGGTTTATGCGTGTAGATAGATAACGAGCTCACAATAACAAAATGCAGGGTCACTCTAATAAGGAAATGAGGGACATGAACTGTTACTTTTAGGCGATAGGGCATGGAGCAATAATTAACTGATCAAAATGAAACTGTTATCTTTATGTAATATTGGTTATCTGAAGCACGTGATTCTGCCGATTCAATCTTAACGCTGACCTTACACGTGGTTAGTCTTGTATACACCTATCATATACACGATCTATCCACACGATGAGTTATGCAATTCAACCCCCTTAACCTCTTATAACAGACCACAGAATTTTACGTTTATTGTCCGTCTGTTTCTGCAGTCTGAGTCATTTGTGCATGTATCTAAATTACCACATGAGCACAACCCTCGAAAATTTGCAAAGGTGAAACAAATCTCATGCACATGTGACTTTGAAGACGCCAGCCACCCTGACAACTGCTGAAATAACCAATCAGATTTCGGAATTTCAGCTAAAAAGTTAGGTTTTCATAAAATATGGAAATTGGATTGCTATCTTAGCAGTCGTTGGGGTGGCTTTCAACGTCACACATCATGCCTAGAAAATGAGATAATACATATTAATTGATAGTAGTCAGCAAGCGACAATTTCCGAAATGTGAAACATGCAGAAATGGATAAGGGGTCAGTCGAAAGCTCTTGGGTTGAGCTATATAATAATGATATCGAATAGGTCATAATTGAAATGCCTATTGAAATAAATGATGCGACCGACAATGCTCATATAAGACTCACGGTTTTCATTTTTCGGTCGGTTTAACAAAAATCTATCAGTGAAAAGAGTAACATGATCTAACAATGCTATGCCTTTCCTTAGACCGTTATGATATACTGAATGAGGATTTAAAATGTTACAGGTTAATTCGTTGATTTCACGATTTCATAGGTTGAATTTTCTCATAAAATGACTGAAATTGGACCAATGAGAAGCATCAAGTGAATTTATCCTATTTCAAATACTTAATATCTTCCACATACGCATCAATTTCAAAGTTTCAATGTAATTTACAAAGTCAGTTGTCAGAATCAAATCTAAAGTATGTCGATAAATCCGTGATATAAACTAATAATAATCAAGAGTGAATATTTGTATAATTCATTTTATATGGGAACGGAATTCTTGGTCTAATCATCTATAAATAGAACGTGCAAATTGTATGATGACGAAATCACCTAATAAAATTGATCATGTAACAATGAAAATTGATCACAGTAATAATCCTAGGAATGTGTCTATGTTAAAAGAAATGCCAATGACTTTAAAGGCAACCCTATGGACTAAAATAGGCAATTAATTTTCTGTAGTTCATGTAAAATTACCCCTCCAGCAATGTATCGGTATATAGTTGGTCATTTTGAATGATTTTAAATACCACCCTAGCAACTGAAATAATTAGGTTTCTTTATTTCGATGGGAAAGTTAGTTTTACATAAAAGATAGAACTGTAATTGGTTATATCACTCGTCAGCATGGCGTTTAAAGTCATTCGGATTCAAAGTATTCGGAATTACGATCTATGGGCTGAATGATTACGATTCGATTGAACTGTTGTTAGAAGTCCATCAAATCATAATTTAAAAAATAGGGCTAATAATGTAACTATAAATGATATGTTAGGTATCCAATGAATGAAGTCCAGTAAATTACGATAAACCTAAAACAAACTTGATGGGAATGTGACGCATTTTCAAGAAGGATACGGAGAACTGGAGAGTTTCTCATTACTATTATCATTAATGCATTATTGGAGTTAATACTGCAGTCAGTTCTTGTTGGTATTCATTTTGGAGGCTTGTGAGAAATAACTGATTTCAAAAAGCAGTTATATCACCAATTTAAATCAACCAAAGAAACATTAAAAACGTAGGCGTTTTTTCATCCTAGGGTCCTCAACAGTGTGCTTGATCCCCCATCGGTGCACACTGTTCGGGAGTCCCAAGCTGGGATGAACAAGCTGTTCATCGCTTCTGGGTTTTCAAAGGTGTTTTATATAAAGGTAATTAAGTTATAACGGTAATCTTCTGTGACAATGGCTATTGGTCATAATCATTCTATGAAGGATAAACTGGCTGGTAACTACCACCGTCATGGAGTGATACTGTTGGCATGTCACGATGACCCTATCAGTTATGCTCTACTATACCACAAAGGTTGGCCGCAAAACCAATTATTGAAGTGAAGTAAATAATTTAAACTGAAAAGTGCATCTGGTACCATACGGTCT